CATTCTTACTTTACAGCATTTTTTCACACCTGCCTAAAACTTTTGCACAGTACTGTATTTTATTGTTTTTCCATAAAGTATAAGCAATAATACAACCATGAATGTATGCTTTAAAAGCACCTCAAATAATGAAGTCATGCCCTGATACCTAACATTCTTCAAAAACCTTGTTGAATGTTTCTTATGAAAAATTTATCAATTACAGTATGTATTTAAATACCATCTTGAAAAAATAGGATTCTTATAGTAACTGATAGTGTTATTGGAACTTAAGTTCCATATTGCAATAGAATCTCTCTTACAGTCATCTATCTGAGCAATGAAGGATCAAGATAGTAAGAAATAGTCAAGTCAGGAACAAGTATGATAAAATTGAAAAGAAAAGTATATTCCTGTTCTGAAGGATTTAAAAATTGCAATATATATTTAATATATAACTTGTAACAGAGTTAAATGTTAGCTGGAACAATATTATGATTTAACAAAAAATCTAAAACTTGATTAAAATCTATAAGCATAATTATCTGATTCACACCTAAACTAAAAATATATTAAAAACACGTAAAATATCTGGATGACCCTTAGTATGGTCATAGTAATTTATAAATATAAGATGGTTATTAAAGCATTTAATAATCTTATTTCTTTTTTAAAAATTCCTTCTGAATAATTTATTCTTTTTGAAGACTTGTTAATCAAAAATACTATACTTGTAAAAAATTTTGAATAACTGACTAACCCATCTTTTAGATCAAAGATCTTTCTCACATTGAAAAATAAATAATAAATCAGGTTTTAAATTAACCAGTTTAATAAGTATCTATCTCCTCTCAGAAGGATATCTAAGCCAATTTACATTCCAGTATACTACTAAAAATAACATGTTAAAAAACGCAGATATAAAAAACAGTAGTTTTATAAGTCAAAGAAAAAGAAAAGAATTTTCATTTAACTGGGATACCCTCTGAAGAACTAAAAAAAAGCCTGAAAAAATAAAAATAATGAAAAAGAAATATTTAAACATTTAATAAGAACATTAAAAATGTATTTAAAAAAACACCAGAAAAATGCAAGACAAAAATAAAAATATAAAAATATAAAAAATCCTAATGTTGGCACATTTCCCTCTAAACATACAGTATAACACTAGATACAAAAAAAGACTGCTACTTTTTTATTTTAATCCGTTTCAGACCAAAAACAAAGTTTATGCAGCTTCCAGTTCAAAATTTGTCACCTAGATAAGCAAAAAAAAAAAAAAAAAAAAGCTAGAAAAGGAAAAAAAAATCTCCTTTGGTTTTGGTCCCAAACAAGCTTTGTTCAATAGTTGTGTTTCTGAACTATTTGTGGAGGCAGAACTAGAACAATCGTTATATTTTTGCATTCCATTCCAAAGAACCCACTTGATGAAATATCACACAATCTGATTCACTATTTTAGATCTTAAAAGTCTAACCACAATAGGACTAGGTTTCTGTACTAAAGGGAAACAGAAACCCACGTGATAAGCAGTTTCAATTTCTAGCTTGTATTCTTAACTACAGTGATTTTTTTTTTTTCATAAAGAATGTTAATGATGGATCTTGCTCAGCACTGTAAAGAATGTTCAGAAAAGCAGAATGGGTCACTTCATACTGACATTATTACCTACTTTCAAGATTGTTTCCAAATCTATGGCACATTGTTTATCAGAACGTTCAAGACAGGTGATTCTTTTTTTTTTTCATGTGAGTCAATTGCTAAAGATTCTAATTCTGCCATTTTGTGATCTAGAGAACCAAGAATATACTTTGTCTTCAAAAAGTTGCTTTTAACTGAATAAATTCAGTCATTCTAAAAGATTAAATCATCAGCTAGAAGTTTTACTATGATAAGAAATTTCACATAATTTTCTTTATTAGATTGTCTTGTGAGTCAGGAATAAATTCAGCTCTTGACTGTTCCTTAATTGATATCATTTGTACTATTAGGGATGCTTAGGACAAAGTATATAATTACTGTGATGTAACAAATCAGCATTTTTAAAATGTATGTACTGAAGTTTATTATACTGAGTCAAATGCACTGAGGGAGAAATCAATCATTTTTAAAATAATCTGGTTTTTTTTAACATTATATATAACCAAGCTGTTTAGCCAGTTGCACCTTTACCTATTTAGGAATTAACACATACTATTAAATCTATGAAAAGAGGAAAGCTGTTAGTCCTGACTGCTATCTTGTCGAGTGACCTAAGGCCTTGTCTTAAACTCCTATACTGTTGGAGAATTTATTCTGATGGGTTTATTAAGTTTTTCGACTTCTGTAATAAGACTTATATAGCTGTGTTTGTGAAGACTGGCAAAGATTCAGCTGATTCAATGACTATCACTAGGCATATACTGTGATTTCTACTTATTGATGGTATCCTAATGGTCAACATTAAAACCATTTTAGGCACAGCTAAAATGTTACTATGAGACTCTTCTGATATCATGGCAGAGACTTGGTTCCTTTTTAAATCAATTCCTTCTATTCTATTTCTAGCATTAAAAGCTTCAGGGCATATTTGGAGGAGTATCGTTTTGACTCTTATACACATGATAAACATATACTTTGGGATAACCCAGTATTTTAGCAGCATCAAAAACTCTTGAATTAATACCAGTAGTGTAATGTGTTCTGTGTGATTCCAAATCTACAGCATTTGTAAAAAAACATTTGCTAAAGAGTACTGTTAAAGTACCATATTTTTCCATCTATAAGACGATACTTTTTTCTAAAGTTGTTACACTAAAAATTGAAGGGTGTCTTATGCAAGGAAGTAAGCCGAGGAGAGAACCGCACGGTTGCGAAACTGCCCATACTTTGTCTCTCAAACAGGCTTCCTCCTATCACTAGCTTTCAATCACGAGTGAAATAGCTTGTCTCTGCAAACAGACTTCCTCCAATCACGAGCCTTATGTAACTGACGTCAGCTAATACTGAACAAACCAATTGGAGGAAGTCTGTTTGCAGAGACAAGCTATCGGCAGTTTCGCTG